AAGTCACTGAAGGATCAAACTTTGATTGGAATTGTTTTAATCCATCTGAGATATAATCTTCATTCAACGGCTTTGCATACTGTGTAACTGAAAAATCATGAACCTTCTTTGTCAAAACATTGATCATGCTTAGACGATCATTCTCTAAAGGTTCAAATTTTTGATAATACTTTCCACTGACTATTGGAGCTTTCAAAATCAACTTGTAACAATTCTCAAATAGGAATTTATAATTGTCAGACCCAAAAGTTAAAGCATCTTTATGACTTCTGACAAATTCTCCAATAAATTTCTTGTATAAGTATTTCAAAAATTCTTTCTTTTCAAAAGAGTTGAATGTAACATGAACCTTCATATTAGTATTTATGGTAGTAAGTTTGACTCTGACCCAAACATTATCAAATATTTTGGAAATTTTCAAGTCTTCAATACCAATTCTTGATTCAGATAAAAGTCTTGGAATAGCATCAAGGTAAACTCTTTGTAAAAGAGCTGATCTTGTTTCAGGAACAATTCCCTGTGAAACTTGTAATTTTGTATTCCCTTTTGAATCAGCAGTTGAAAGCTTCTTTCTTTCGGTAGTAGTTTCTGTGGTAGTTGTAACTTTTGTAGTAATTGTAGTAGTTGTAGTTGTAGAAGGTTCGTCAGTGATATTAGTTGTTTTAGTAGTTGTAGTTTTAATAGATTTTGTCTTTTTAGTCGTCATTGTGTTTTGATTTGTGTGATGAGTACAAGAGTGAAAGAAATTTAGAAGATGTAGGATACTTGACTCAATATATATACATTTCACGAGAAATTTAACTCATTGTCCTTTTAAACAGAAACTATAATATGTGCTCCTAAATATTGAGGTCTTTTAATATGATTCTGTCATGGTGATTTACAGAATACAAATTACACTCACTTATTCATTCGCTCTAGCTTTGGTATCAAAAGCAAATACTATGAGTGAACATTCATTTAAGCCTTAATGATAACAATATCTATCTAAAATAGACGCAAAATGCTTCATTATAACGTTTTGTAAAGATGAATATCACGGATAATCGCGGCCTCAAATTCAACCTAATACATATTCAGAGCTTTATCCAAAACAAAGATATATTCATTGCAATATTCAAAAAATTCATTCTAGCAGAGGTGGAAAGCTCCTAGTAGAGAGTGTATAAACTGAGGTATTAAATTTCACTAAATTCTTTTCTCTCAAAATTGTGCTCATTATGTGACTTTTCAATGCGCACTTTTTTGAGAGACCTTGCACTATAAACTTAATATGAGAGAATATTCACTTTGAACAAGTAAAGCACTTTTTGACACTATTTGAAACTATACAAATACCAAGTCATCCACAATTTACAAGATATAACTGCAAAATATTCATTGACTTTCATCTATATAGATTACTTATACTCACATACAAAGTTTAGGTAATCAGAACCACGAATTGCATTAAAAGAACACCAGACCACCAGACCTTTATTATTTGCAAATGATACCTACATGCACTATAAAGTAACAAATTGTATTAATAAGAGCCCAAATGTAGTTATCTGTAGAATAACTTTGAATTCAAATATTATTCCTCGATCTAAACTACAATCAATATTAATTTCAAAAATTATATAGATCCAATAAATTTACCAAAGTTCAATGATGTTATTCACAATCATATGAAGACAACGGAAATTATGGATTGCTTTTATATATTAATTAATAATTAACATATCTTCATAACTGGTTTCAAAATCATTTGTTCATAAAAACAATTAAATTTAAATATTAGAAACTCAGTTGAACTTGAACTAAACCTATTAAAAAACCGGTGGGTGTGTACATTAAAATCAAAGATTGTTCAAAGACACGTTTGATACATCAATTATACATCCAACTTAGAATGTAAACTATAATGAACTAGTTTCAAAGTCAAACAATTTAATATTCATGTTTAAAAAGTTTTATACTGATACACTGTCGAATCTCGATCCCATTTATAATTTTTTTTTTGAATATATTTCCAATTTCTGTAGACTTCCCAATTAGGCAATTCTATGTAAATTGTCTTTTATTCTAAATTTATACCTGAAGGTGAAGTCTATTATTCTCGAATAATATATGTGTTCATACTACAAGTAAAGTAACAACTACTATTAAACTATTAGCCCAAGTGTAGTTCTGTACAGATTAGCTATAAATTCAATTACTGCCTCGATCTAAACTACAATTTCAATACTAAATTCAAAAAGAAATTGATCCAATAAATAAACCAAAGTTCAATGAAAGTTATTCACAATCATATGAAAAATACAATGGAATTTATGGATTGCTTTGTATATTAGTTAATAATTAATATATCTTCATAACTGGTTTCTAAATCATTTGTTTATAAAAACAAAATTTAAATATTAGAACCTCAGCTGAACTAAACCAGGTATTAAAAGCCGTTGGGTATGGTCGTTAAAGAAAGATGGAACATTTAAAGCTCGACTAGTTGCTAAAGGTTATAGTCAAAACTAAGGAATTAATCATAAAGAAACTTTTTCACCAGTCATAAGGTACGATAGCGTCAAAATATGCTCTCAAACATTTAAATAAATTTTTCTAATTTTTTTTGATTTTAAAATTTACTTTTTTTTTTCCTGTAGACTTCCAAATTAGGTAATAAAAACATAGAACTTCTTGTTTATAAATTTATAGTATATAAAAGTTAGTTATAAGAACAAAATTTGGAGTTAATATTACTACATACTCATCTCATGATATATATATATATATTATAAATAATTAAAAATCAACTCTAGTAAATAACATTTCATATAAAGTAAACAGATCATATAAAAACCAAGACTTTTTCTTTGTTGTTTTAGAATGGAAAATTCAACTTCTCCTTCTCCACAGTATAACCTTGATCTTCTTGTTCTTTAGCCTTTTCCTCCAAATAAGGTAAAACAATATCTTTCCATTTAATTAAACCTTTATAAACTTGAGAATCTGGATCCCAATTATTAATTGAATTTAATAATCTTTTAGGTACAAAAGGTTCTTGACAAATTTGAGTTAATGGTAAAAAATATGTTCTTATAGTAAAAACTATTGCTCCAGATTTTGGTAATCTTCTTAATGATTGACGTTCTGATCTATACATTATTCCATCAATTGTTTGAGCTTTCAATGAACCTGTGAATCTATAAGTATGATTTTCCTCATCCCCCAAAGTAGAAACAGCCCAATCTAAATTATCATCCATTTGGAAAGAATAATTATAACGAACAACTAATTGTTCAGGAGTCATATTAAAGAAAAATTTTTCCATTGATTTTTTTAAATTTGATTCATATTTTGGAACATTTGCATTATAATGAATTTCTGATAATGTAGTATTAAATTTATCTCTAAATCTCCAAGAACCAGCTAATTGAATTGAACCCGAGGTGAATCTATATTGACCATCTTCCTCTTCGGTCATTATAGCAACATCATCTTGAATTAAATGAGCAGTAACATACATTGGATCTTTATCCCAATTTGGAGATTTATAATCAAATATTTCACCTGTTTGTAAATTTTCAATCCCCAATGGAATTTTTTTAAACATTGAAGGATATCTCTCAGGTAAATATTCTCTAAATTCATCTAATAATTCAAAAGCAGCATCTTGGGATTGTGGTAAAGTTTTCATGTTTTTTTCACCTTTTTCTGCAACTCTTTTAACTTTTAAATCATGATATTTATACCATTGATTATCAATTTCTAACCAATCATGAGGATGAGTGTTTTTTATACCCATTGTAATATTAAATTTATGTTTAAAAGCACGATATGGAATTGGATCTGTCTTCTTCAAGTCAAAATTTGGGTATGGTGGTGGGATTGGGAATTTATAATCTTCAGGTTTCCAATGACCAGGTTTTCTTTGTTTGTTTTTAGCTTTATGAGCAGGTAAAGGTTTTTTGGAATCATGAAAGAATTTAAGATAACTTGTAACCAGTATTGAAATGATTGGGAATATAGATAATAGTAAGAGTATTTGACTCTTGTTTTGTAAGTCTATGAATTGACCTAGTTCTTGAATGAACATGGTGATATAATAGTTGGTGATGGATGGTGATAATCAACCACTCATGATTAAAATAAACAGCAAATTCATCATTATTTATATACTATTCAAATATCTCGTTAACGCTTATACCTTTCCGCTTTTTTGTGAGTTTCCTTTTAGTTAAATTTGACATTTTTGATAAGAATTCGCGAATGGAGTATTTGGTTTAAAGTTTAGGATTTGTTTGCCTAATTTGGTATTTTATAAAAGAAGAATTCAAGCACAGTTTTTAATTTTGATTCAACTTTTGGTTTATTATAAGGACATTTTGAGTTCATATTGAGTAGATTATTGAACTAAAAGTGATCAAGAGCATCAACATCATCATCAACTTAAAGATTGAACACGTCTCATAAAATAATAGTGTTTTATCGTCATATCAAATTTCAATCAATATCAAGAACCCCAATAAGATCTACAGCAAGACGGGATAATACTCCTATTGATCTAGGAAAAAACTAGGTACAATCGGAATCAAAGTCCTTCGACTTGGAATACAATATACCATCTAGTAGCCTAGTAACTACTAGCTATTGCTACTTTTCATAAATTATCAGACTAGTTCAAAATTCAAATCAAATCAAATAAGTCTATATATCTTACATAATCACCCGTAGTTTTACCTTAAATGGAAAGTGTCAGATTTGAGAATTGAATCGCTGAAACTTGACAATAAACAAAAATCAATTGTACTCATAATAAACAATTACAATTAAAATGGATATTATTATGGTCTGATTAATCATATGATAATTATGTTGGTAAAAGATTTTGATCATATAGTATTCACTGTGAATAACATCCAAGAATCAATTGATTTTTATACCACCAATTTAGGTTTCAAACATCTAGAATTTAAGGCTGATATTGATAAAGATGTTGATCCATTAAGGGTTAGAAATGCTTTGGTATTTGGTAATAAAAAAATTAATTTACATCAAAGACATAAGGAAATGGATCCATTTGCTCAAACACCAACTGTTGGTTCTCAAGATCTTTGCTTTATATTAAGTGATGATTTAACTGTTGATCAAGCTATAAATCAATTAACTTATAAAGGGATTGAAACATTTGGTCATTCAAATAAACCAGGTTCAATGGGTCTTATTGAAAGTTTTTATATAAGAGATCCTGATGGGAATTTATTAGAATTTGCAAAATATTTATGATATATATTATAAAATATATAACTTATTATTTAATGATTTATTTAAATACTTATTCTTTATATCTGTTGTTAACCCCTTTGATCCACAAACTATTAAATTTGAATTTTGAAATAAATTTTGAGATAAAAATTCATAATTAATCTTACTTTTCAATACATCTTGCTGATAACCATTATTTGATAAATAAATTACATGAAATTTATCACCATACTTGGATTTCAATTCATCAATTTTTGATTTCAATATAATTTCATTTGCATGTGAACTTGAATAAATTAATTTAATTTCATTTTGTCCTTGTTCCAATAATTTTGATATCATTGAATAAATTGGTGTGATACCACAACCACCAGCAATGAAATTAACCTTCTCTTCTGGTTTAAATTTAAAATTATTTATTGGTAATGGACCTCTAAATTTAATTTCATCACCAATCTCTAATTTATGTAATGCACCACTTGTTCCATTTTCATTAAATAATTTTATAGCAAATTGTAATGTATCTTGATTGTCTTCTGGACCTATTAATGGTGAGTATGGTTTGATTTTTAAAGACCCAGTTTGTTTATCTCTTAATGATAATAAAATTGGTTGACCTGGACTTAAACCTAAATTATACCCATCAGGAATTTGAAATTTTAAAATTTTTGTATCATGAGTATCTTGAATAATTTCTTTTAATTTTAGTTTAGTTCCAAATATATAATTTGGGAATAATGGCTTAAGTTGATTTGAATCATTTTGAATAGCTAACGTTGATTTATTATAAAAATATAATGAACTTGTTAAACTTGTTATTCCAATGATTGTGGAAACGGTCTTAAGATTGATAAATCTAGTACTTAATGCTTTAATCATTGTAAGATGTTTAAATATTCTTAGTGTTGATGGTAATTATAATCAAAACCGATTATTAGGAAGCTGTACTCTTTATATAACTTTTCAGTAATTTCAGATATAATGGTTATACACTTTCTATCGGCCGACTATATATCCTCGTCCGAAATATTAATTAACATATGTTAAGCTCTGCAACTTGTGCTATTATATATAAACACATATGAAGCAGTTAAAACAATTCTTTTTAAAATATTAATAAACATGTATGAAATTATTCATTTGTATTCCAATTTCCAATAGATCACAGTCATTGCATTAATTCTTATTACATAGATGATCTGTCTATAGCGTAATTCGTGGTTCTGGTTACCTAATATTTGTATGTGAGTATTAGTAATCTATATAGATGAAAGCCAATGAATATTTTGCAGTTATAAAACTGTAAATTGTGGATTACTTGGGGTATCTATATAGTTTCAAATAGTGTCAAAAAGTGCTTTACTTGTTCCAAGTGAATATTCTCGATCATATTGTTTATAGTGTAAGGTTTCTCAAAAAAGTGCGCATTGAAAATCATATAATTTGAGCTCAAATTTGAGAGAACAGTATTTTATGAACTTTAATACCTCAGTTTATACACTCTCTACTAGAAGCTTTTCACCTCTGCTATAGAATGAATTTTTTGAATATTGCAATGAATATCTCTTTGTTTTGGACAAAGCTCTGAATATGTATTAAGTTGAATTTGAGGCCGCGATTATCCGTGATATTCATCTTTACAAAACGTTATAATGAAGTATTTTGCATCTATTTTAGATAGATATTTTTATCTTTAAGGCTTAACTGAATGTTCACTCATAGTATTTGCTTTTAATACCAAAGCTAGAGCGAATAAGTGAGTGTAATTTGTATTCTGTAAATCACCATGACACAATCATATTAAAAGACCTCAACATTTAGGAGCACATATCATAGTTTCTGTTCAAAGAGACAATGAGTTAAATTTCTCGTGAAATATATATATATTGAGTCAAGTATCCTAAATCTTCTAAATTTCTTTCTTTCACTCTTGTACTCATCACAGAAATCAAAACACAATGACGACTAAAAAGACAAAATCTATTAAAACTACAACTACTAAAACAACTAATATCACTGACGAACGTTCTACAACTACAACTACTACAATTACTACAAAAGTTACAACTACCACAGAAACTACTACCGAAAGAAAGAAGCTTTCAACTGCGGATTCAAAAGGGAATACAAAATTACAAGTTTCACAGGGAATTGTTCCTGAAACAAGATCAGCTCTTTTACAAAGAGTTTACCTTGATGCTATTCCAAAGCTTTTATCTGAATCAAAAATTGGTATTGAAGACTTAAAAATCTCTAAGATATTTGATAATGTTTGGATCAGAGTCAAACCTACTACCATAAATACTAATATGAAGGTTCATGTTACATTCAACTCTTTTGAAAAGAAAGAATTTTTGAAATACTTATACAAGAAATTTATTGGAGAATTTGTCAGAAGTCATAAAGATGCTTTAACTTTTGGGTCTGAAAATTATAAATTCCTATTTGAAAACTGTTACAAGTTGATTTTGAAAGCTCCAATAGTCAGTGGAAAGTATTATCAAAAATTTGAACCTTTAGAGAATGATCGTCTAAGCATGATCAATGTTTTGACAAAGAAGGTTCATGATTTTTCAGTTACAAAGTATGCAAAGCCATTGAATGAAGATTATATCTCAGATGGATTAAAACAATTCCAATCAAAGTTTAATCCTTCAGTGACAT